AAAACCTGTATTTTTATAGGTGGACCTACAGATTAAGGTGGTCAAAACCAATGAGTACCGGTAACGAAATTATATCAAAGATAAAAGCCATCGGTTATTAACGGAATTTGAACCCGTATCATCAGAACCTATGTCCCGTGTTTTAGCCCCTAGACCAGACTTTAAGCAAACATCATTTTCTGATTACTAAAGACCAAGACATACCATTACACCATAAAACCTTCAACTTTTCCTCTTAACCTTACCTATTACAGTATGTGCAACCTGTCCCCTGACCGGACAGGGACCTGCCCAATAACTTTATTCCGAGGTAGTTAGATGGTCAGAAAAAAGTCACCAACATACAGACTATAGCCTTCTATCCCCCTTTCCCATTCAAATGTAACCACTCAACTTCAATCCTATACTATAAAACGAGCTAAGTCTATTTGTCTGTCTGTGCACTGCTTAAATTAGAGAGGCAGTGTTATTTATAACAAACTTGGTAGTAGAGAGGACAATGAATGTTTGTAAATGATCGTCGACTCGTTGTTACAAGCGTCACTACAAGCATTGTAACAGACATGTAGTTAAATACCAGAGTCAGTGTTGTTTATAACAAACTTGGTAGTAGAGAGGACAATGAATGGTTGTAAATGATCATCAACTGGTTGTGACAAGTACGTACACTACAAGCTTGTAACAGACATGTGTTTAAATGAGAGAGTCAATGTTGTTTATAACAAACTTGGTAGTAGAGAGGACAATGAATGGTTGTAAATGATCATCAACTGGTTGTGACAAGTACGCACACTACAAGCTTGTAACAGACATGTGTTTAAATGAGAGAGTCAATGTTGTTTATAACAAACTTGGTAGTAGAGAGGACAATGAATGGTTGTAAATGATCATCAACTGGTTGTGACAAGTACGTACACTACAAGCTTGTAACAGACATGTGTTTAAATGAGAGAGTCAGTGTTGTTTATAACAAACTTGGTAGTAGAGAGGACAATGAATGGTTGTAAATGATCGTCGACTCGTTGTTACAAGCGTCACTACAAGCATTGTAACAGACATGTGGTTAAATAACAGAGTCAGTGTTGTTTATAACAAACTTTGTAGTAGAGAGGACAATGAATGGTTGTAAATGATCATCAACTGGTTGTGACAAGTACGTACACTACAAGCTTGTAACAGACATGTGTTTAAATGAGAGAGTCAGTGTTGTTTATAACAAACTTGGTAGTAGAGAGGACAATGAATGGTTGTAAATGATCATCAACTGGTTGTGACAAGTGTACACTACAAGCATTGTAACAGACATAAGTTATGTCCTGCTGGTGAATTAGTGGTTTAAGTTTAGCTCGACTCATCTACAAGCATTACTTTTTATAAATTAACATTTACACAGAATAATTTTCAAACCAAATTCTTTTATGGAGAACTTGTTTATATTCTTACATTTCAATTGTTTGTACTTACTAGGGTTAACTTGTTATTCTACAATAAATAAGTCTGTGTGTTCTTGATATTCTTTTTTGGCATGGGTCTAAAATGTTGTTTATTTTTAATAGCCTAGTTAATACCAACTAATTTCAAAAACAAAAACATTTTTGAAGTTTTAATCCTACATTTTTATCTCACTAGGCATAGCCTACACCAAATGGTCGATGATTAATTATTGGCATACCGGTATCGATAGCCAGTGAATAGGCCTATATCACTTCTTGTATCCAATTGTATTTGATTAGAAAAGACTTTCAGGAATAGGTCTAGAATTTTTATTTCAGAATTGCAGATCTTCTCCAGCTTAAAACACCAACCTTTGTACGATTAATATTTTCCCTACTTAGTTTAACAATTAGTAGTTGCTATATGCTACATAGAAAGACTGTATTTTATTTATTCTCTGTGCAATGTCCTGTCATCTTTAATGTCTTATACTCGTATTTTGACACTACGTTTGAACAGAGAGAGTAGGTACCGGTAACTGATACTCAATTAATAAGCATTCATTTACTTCCGAGTCTGAATTGAGTGAGACGGAGAGCAGTGAAAGTATGAGATGGGAACTGAGACAATAGGAGGTCCCACCTGCAGCAGGCAGCTACACTTTCACTCTTATTAGAATCCTTCAAACCTATCAATAATGAAACTAAGTTTTAAAGTGCAAACAACACATAGCCTAATATATGTGAGGGTTTAATTCCTTTCAATGGAGAATAACAATGGCCTTATAAAAAGTTGTTTAAGTGTGGTACAAAGTATCAAATCGGTAGGTTATATGGTGGAAGAAGCAGTGCACTCTCAACGAGTGCCAATTGGCTTCAGAATACAGTAGGCCTATGTGCGAAAGAAGAGATTTTAAATCCATTAGACTACCAAAATATGATTAAACATAGCCTATAGAGCCCCTAGATGCTTAAAACATCTTATAGGCCTATATTAAAACGTGACAGGGTTTTTTTATTTCACGATTCTGAATCAACCACTTGACGGATTTTCATGATTTTTGTGTTGAAAGAAAGATAATTTTGAGAACTAGGGAATGTCGAAGCCATACCGGTAATTTTAGTTTAAGGTTTCAGTTTTTTATAAATTACCTAAATTAAATTTTTTAAAGTCTAGCAGCCGACGTCAACGTTCTAGACTAGCTTATGGTATTGGTCTACAATATCATTTGCATAACGTAACAGCTTTAAACAATCAGCGTTTGCGAGACAAATTCAGCATTTGGATAAAAATGAAATGACATACACGTAGGGATGACTTATTTATACTATGTGTACTGTAATGCTATAATCATTGATACGTTTATTTATTCGGTAAGAGGATGACAGATCATTTAAATATACATAGTAAATTACTAGATGTTCTAATTTATTTTTTTGAGCAGTCTTTAAAATCTTAAAGTTTGTTTTAGTGCACTATAATTTGTTTTAACTAACAGCTGGTTGAATATAAAAATATTCCATACAACTAGGAGGTTAGTTTATTTACTCTGTGATTTTGTCATTGATTATAGGAAATAAGTAAGATTCTATAACCATTGCTGTATACGAATCGAAGCTCACGAGTCTAACAAAGAAAACTTATGAAAATTATTTCACTACTCGACTTTTTGAGGAAAGGTTGGGAAAATAACAATGATTAGGCATAGGCTACATGTTTTAATTAATTCATCTTGGAAGATTTTTCTTCACAATACTGTAATTTTGAACTGCTTAAACTATGCTTCAATTAGGAATAGAAATATTGATATAACTATATGCAGTTTTAATGGACTACTCGATTCCCGTACATAGGACGGGCCAACAGCTCGTATTATTTAAAAAAGAACTTATGTCCAAGAAATCTGAGGTAGGTCGGCTACAGTTACTGCACAAATAAATTTTCTGTTTTCAGTGATTTATATGTTTAAAAAATTCTTAATGAAAGAGAATATTATATTATTATATTATACTAGCTGACCCGGCGAACTTCGTATCGCCTAAGTTATAGGTTTCCCCTAAGACAGACCGATGGAAAGAAAGTACTGTTACGTTTAATTTTCAAGATGATCTTGTTCGCATCGCTCAATCACGTCCTGGTTGAAGTCCGTTCGCTACGCTCACTCACCTTTGGGTTGGAGCTCGTTCGCTGCGCTCACTTGCCTTTAGGTTGGAGCTCGTTCGCTACGCTAACTCGCCTCCAGGTTAGCTCGTTCGCTACGCTCACTCGCCTCCAGGTTGAAGTTCGTTCGCTACGCTCACTCACCTTTTGGTTGCAAATTAGCTGTTGTCATAAATGTAAAAGAAATGATAGTGCTGCACCCTGTTGGTAATCCTTGTAACTTTAATGCTATTAAACATCATAGAACAGAACCAACTTGTTTAATTGAAACAGCTGTTAAGATTCATTAATTCCATTTCTCATACGGTTAACATGGGAAACTCCAGAGCCACTGGGGCGGAGCCCTTTTAAGAATTTCGAAACGGGAAATAGTTTACGTCCGATTCGCATACCTACAGAATTTACACACCAAATTTCATAACGATCGGTGAAGTCGTTCCGGAGGAGTTTGCAGACAAACACTGTGACACGAGAATTTTATATATTAGATTTAGAACGACGGACAGAACAGAGTACGGTACTTTCGTATTATACGGAGGCCACTTATTTTACAGCGCGCTGCTGCGGTTATGTTGGGTTATCATAAATATGTTTGTAGGACTTTCCTCGTTTCTTTATGAATCAAACGATACCAGATGAGTTATAAAAATTATGATAAGCCCACCTAACTTAACCTAACCGCCGCAGCGCGTCAGGTTAATGGCTGCACTTTACTTTACGTCCTACACTCATTCGAATGAAAGTACCGTATCGATTATTCGATTGTTATATTCGATATATCATTTGGTTAGTTAAGTTAGGTTAACCTTACCTAACTAACCAAATGATATATCTATCGATATTTTCATTCGAATTAGTGTAGGACGTAAAGTGGCAGCCAGGTTAACAAATGAAGATGGACATAACTTAAAGGCTTACTAAAACAAAACTTTGACCAGGAGTTATAAATGTTTCCCAATTGCTATGTTAGCGTACACCTAGACAACATAGCCTATAAACTAATTTAAGTTAAAACCCAGGAATCGATAGGATTGTAAAAAAGTGAAATTAAGCCCAACTTAGGTAGAGTAAAATCTACCGATTTCAACAATTGGGCTACCTAGCAGGATAGGCTAGCAAAGGGTCAATAGACTAGGATTTATTTTCATTGTTTAATTGAATTTTATAATTTGTCAAACCTATCAAAATAGTATTCTTAGGTAGGCTAACTTAAAGTAACCTCTCAGAAGAAAATATTGGTGCTTGTCTACATAATAATATAAATCTGTGCATACTTCCTTGTTCATATTACATTCATAGGTCTAACACATATTTTTCAGCAACATTAATTTGACAGCTTTAGGCTTTCTTAAAATGCAAGCCCAAGCGTTATGACCAAATGTAGCAACACAAAACATCTGTCTTACCTGATAGAATGTCACATAATAAGTGTTAGGAATACCAATTTAGCATCAAACACAAAGCTTGAAGTTTTAAAAACTATTAAAGCACTACACTTTTAGTCAGTAAATACGAATATTTACCGACAAACAACTTCACAATCGCGAAACGCACACACGACCGCCGCCACTAAAAACGAACTAACCCAAAAACAACACAATCCATGAATCCATTCCATTGGTTTTCTGACATCACAAGCACAAGACAGACAACTAGAAATGTTGACGCTTGCGCATTCTAGTGATTTTTATTTTAACTACTGAAATCACACTTCGGTTTAGATTTATAAGCCAATAAAATAAAACTCAGCGAAGGAGTATAAGAAGTAAACTTATGAGATGGCAGGCCCACTTTTATAAACGAGCAGACTGAGCATATGCCCAGGGGCGTTGGTGGTTTAGGGGTGCCCCCAAACACGGCCGCCTTTAACTACAGGCCGCGGCCTGGTAGAATTGGCAACGTTGCAAGTGGTGTTGTTCAGTGACAGACGTCCCATGAGATAACATGGCAAACAGATGACATCAGCTCATTAATTCGCACTTTATTGATTTAAATTTAAATTTATTAACATAAATTTATTAAAATATTGAAAATAAAACATACAGAATTGAAAACCGAAACAATATGAATTAATATCTATATCTGTACATTTTTAAGCGGAGTCAATAATGTCATAGTCCAGTAACCAATCTTTCGTAAATACACTAAATACCATTAGCTGCTTCCAAACAAAAACAGCTGTTACAACACCACTTGCATGCTTGCGACCATGGTGGAAGGAAAAAATATAGGTGTGCTATTCCAAGGCCCCACTAGAAAAAGCGCTATTCCCGCATATTCTGACGTCACTCGGATTGCAAACAAAAGATCACCTGATTGTAACTGTCAAATTAGTATGTATTTGTTTTGATTTAATTATAAAACAATAACAACCAAATCAAAACAAATACATATACTAATTTGACGGTTACAATCAGGTGATCTTTTGTTTGCAATCCGAGTGACGTCAGAATATGTGGGAATAGCACACCTATGTTTTTTCCTTCCACCATGACTTGCGACGTTGCCAGTTCGAAGGCCGCGGCCTGGAGTTAAAGGCGGCCGTGTCCCAAACCACCGCCCGCCAGCACTAGGAAAAAAGGGGGCGCTGCTCTTGGGTTTGCCCAGGGCTCCACTGACCCTTAACAAAAGTGTGATCTATAAGCATAGACTAGCCTCATAGATAAAGATAACTATAATAATTATTATTATAACAACTGACTAACTCGTTTTACAACTGTTGGTATGGCAGACATTTTTATTGTGAAGGGGAGAGTGGTTCATCGGTCAGCCCCTTAATAGAAAATAGGCCTATATTCTCAAGGGCCTTATGCCAAACTATTTTAAATTCTCTCATGCCCTTCATTCAAACTTGCAACGGCATTGTATTGAAAATTCTTCTGGCCGATCGAGGGTAGGTCGTCAAGGTCCGTTCGAGTCGTTATTAGTTCATGGCCGGTGACACTTGGACGTTAGTACGTTGGTGTCGACGAAATTTTGTTTCTATTATTGTAGGGTCCATTTCATGATTTGTGCTTTAGTGTTTTGTTATTTAACATGGATACGAGTTATTTTTTATGATTATATAATTTGAATTGTTTAAATAAGGTTTTAATGACTGGCACAACAAGAAAAAATTGTAAACAAAACACGACACGACCCTCCCACAGGGCACCGGACAGAACTAAGATAACAATAAAATTGGCTTCAGCTGTTCATTAAGGATGAGATATCTACTAAGGGAGTATGTTTTATACAAGGGCTTATCCAAGCTATAAGATATCCTAAATTGATATGAAAATGAAAAATAAAAAATAAATATTTTAAAACCGGCAATGTTTTTTTTTCAATCTTTTGATAAATTTATGTGCGTAAATTTACATAAATAATAAGCGAACTAATGAGCAGGTGTCGACTGTCTGACATGTTATCTTATAGGACGTCTGGTGCTAAACAACCATACTTACTACGTTGCCAATTCTTCCAGGCCGTGGCCTGGAGTTAAAAGTTGCCTTGGTGGAACGATCTTCTTTATTTTCTTTAAAACGCCACTCTAAATTAATGATCACTAGAAAAAATTAAATCAGCACATGTAAATTTAACTTTGTGCACAACATGTTGAATTTGAGGTATACAAGGCCCTTAATTATTATCAAAGTCACAGATAACCTTCAACCAAGGTTACATCAATAAACATGTATATTCAAATAGAAAAAGTGCCACATCATCAGCATAACCGGTTACAACCGGCTACCATTTTGGATAGAGATGAAATAGAAACTCTGGTTTTAACCATTCTTTAAGTTTTTACAAACACTTTAAAATGAGGTGTCACTTGAAGGGGGGAGTGAAAATTTAAAAACGTACGTTTTCATGTCCCTGGCCTTTTACTTCGTAGATACTGGATTTGTAGTTTATTATTATGTGCTTTAATATTTTTTGGGACGGGGGCAACATGTTACACACATTTATTTGGTTTTAAATATGTTCTAGGTATTTTTTTCGTATTTTTAAAGTCTCGAAATTCAAGACCATGACGTGTCCCTAGGGTACATTTTCCAACTTTCACGCTGTTTTTAGACTAATTATTCATGCCGAAATATATAAAGCCATATTTTTATGTCATCAATGGTTATTAAATTTAATTGTCATTGCAAACTGACTACCATGACAAAATAAGTCTGTCCCTCGATTTGGTGTCACGACCATTTGGGAAAAAAATTCAACTTTGGAGCACGACAGTGGCAATCCTGGCGTCGATGGAGTCAGTTGGTTTTAGAGACTAGTTCGGGGTGTACGTCAGGATTGTAGTGCCGGTCGTTTCGAGTCGAAAGGAGGAATTACAAGATTAATAAAGGAAAGATTGTGTTTTTTGTAATTTTGGTGTGTCCATGACCGTAGTCATTCGATGAAGTAGACATGGTGTTAATTTTTGTTTATTAGATATTTCAATTGGTAGATTAACCTAGAAGTCCACTTTGTATACTCGAACATGAGGTGCAGGGCTACCGCCAGAACAGAGCCAAATAACACGTAATTTCACGACCAAAGTTTCACGACCATCGCGAGTTTTTTCACGACCAATTCAGCCTTATGGATTATAGTGTGTTTGGTCATGACAATAACTTTAATATAATTATAAATTGAACAGTTTAGTTCAATTGAAACACATATTTTTATTATAACTAACAGTATAATTGAAGGATTGTTTAGAAATATTTAGATTATTCCAGACAATTCACGACCGTACCGCTTGTCCCTGACCATCACGTTTATGATTTCTATCATAAAAATTTCAAAAATTAAAATATCGTCATATTTCAATGTTTTATACACAAAAGAAGCACACCTCTATACAAACATAACGATTTTTCGGGTCTCAGGTAAGTTTTTTCGGAGTTATACAAACTTAAAAAGATTTTATTGGCTTTTTTCAATTTTTTGAGATTTTTTATTTTTTTTTTAGAGAGACCAAATATACCAAAAGCTCAGTGACCTTTTTATTGTATAATGGTCATAAAAGTAAATTAGTTTATAGCAAACAGTGTTTCCATCCGCAAGAAAGAAATATCCCTGGGCCAACGTCAAAAAATCCCTAGTTATCCCTAGTCCGTGTTCTAATAATCCCTCCAATTATCCCTCTTCATCAAATCTAGATAACTTATTATTTTTGCAGCAATACCAATGGATATCATATGATATCATGTATAGCCACGTAAAATATGGTAACTGGTGATAGTATTCTTCAATATCCCATATTATTTATAAACTAATACTATATAAAACACATTTTTGTACCATTAAAACCACGGCCATCTTTAACTCCAGGCAGGCCGCAGCCTTGTAGAATTGGCAACGTTGCAAGTACCGTAGTATTGTTTAGCGCAAGACGTCCTATAAGTTAACATGGAAATAATATAACATAATATAGAATCGAAAACCTAAGCAATATATAAATTGAAAATCTATTTCTGTACATTCAATGTGGAGTCAACATTTTCATAGCCCAGTAACCAAGCTTTCGCATTCATAAAAAAATACATAAATATCATTAGCTTAGCGTTCTCCAAACAAACACCTTTTACAACACTATACTTGCAACGTTGCCACTTCGAAGGCCACGGCCTCCGGCCTGGAATTAAAGGTAGGTAGCCGTGATTAAAAACTGTCTATGTTGTGCAAAACAAGATTAATTAACTAAAAATTAAACAAATAATTATTTTTAAAATTTTATAAACTACCTAATAATTTTAATTTATAAGTATTTACAATTGTTTCAAAAATATTACTCAAGTGTCCAAATTTCAAACTTGTCTTTTTCAAACATGGCCACCATGCCTTGGTGAAAAGGTTACACCAAGTTACTTACTAACCAAAAAACATCACAGAAATCACCGGCAAACAAAATCAAAACGAAAACAAACATTCGACATTGACACAGGGCACAGGGCTACTAAGAAAGAAACAAATTACAGTAGCCTAATCTAGAACCGCCATTCCATTCCACCGGTCCGACTCCAGCCCTTCGCTTGTTTCGTGCAGTGTTGACTGTTACTCTCCCCCTTGTGTGTTCCGACTTTGAAACACTACGTCACTACCACTACCTACAACCATAGATAAAACATACTCCTTGAGAAGTATCTTTTATCTATGCTACAATCGATTTGTTTGTTACCAAAACCTAGGGAAAAAGTAGTATAATCAATGTGTTATCAGTACCTTGCAAAATTAGCCAAAATAGGTCCTTAACTTTGTTGAAATATAGCCATAATGTATTATTTTATCAATATTTCAATTTTATAATGTCAAAGGCCTGAAATCCCTAGAAAATCTAAAAAATCCTTCAATTTCGCTGATTATCCCTAGTTATCCCTCAATCCCTTTTCAATCCCTCGAAGGCCCTAAATATCCCTAGAAAGGGATTTTTATCCCTCAAATGGAAACACTGATAGCAAAACATAGTTATAAAAATAATATTAACCATTTTTAATATTCATTTAAACGTCCGTTATGGTCGTGACAGGATTTTGTGTTTTTCCACCAAAGATGCTCTTTAAAAAAAACTACCAAAGATATTGCGTTGCCATGGACATTTCATGAAACTTCAAATGTTAATGAAATAAAAAAAATAATAAAAGTTTTGAAAAAAGGGGGAAAAAATTTGCAAAATGCTTTTCCTAAAAACGTACGTTTTTACATTTTCACTCGGGGGTTTACATTTAAAATTTTTGAGTTGCCCCCAAAAATCTCCCCTTTTGGTTTTGGGGGGACATTTAAAAATTTCAAAATCATAAAATGAAACTTCCTGCTAAGATTACACGACCACCAAAAGGGTATCTCTGTATATTTTTACTTAGAAAAATATTAGAGGGGGTCTTGACTTTTAATTCATCCTGTAGATGTATGACAATCTGTTTTAATTGTATTAATCATATGACAATGCTCATTTAATGTACATGATCAAAGGCAAATAAATCATTTCATTTTATTAAATGATTTAAGGATGTGCTCGGAATTGAACCCGTCCCTCCCGCACCAAAGTCCGAGACGCTAACTACTAAGCTAGCAACACAACCAAAATCATTAATATTTCAAAATAAAAAGTTGATAGCAAATAACGTGATGTGATATTCATTCAACGAGATGCAACAATTTATAAAAAGTTTTCGTGCACAAGTGGCACAAGTGTCATGAATTAAACAATGCTAAACACTCTCACGTACTGCACAGCTTCATGCAAAATCTCTTAATCTAGCATTCTTCAAGCGAGCGATTACAAGATAAAAATAAACAACCAAAACCAAAAAGAAAACCAAAACCAACGAAAACGCTAACCGGCTAACCTGCAAAATCAAATAATACTTCTTTGAACTTGCATCTAGTGATCGATCTAGTTAGTTAATTATTACTGTTACCAGAACAGTGTTGACTTACTTTTGTGACACATTTTAGTAATAAAAATGACAACTAGCGTGGCAACTAATCCATCAACTCTCCTTCCTCTAGGTAAAGTATATTTGTAGGCCTATGAGCATTCGCAAGCATAGGCTTCGAGGCCACGTACTGGTACTAGGGTGCTAGGTAACGTTCAGAATTTACAATTTCAAGATTTAGATGTTTTACTGGAATAACAACGATTCGGCTGCACTTTACTTGACGTCCTACACTCATTCGATGGGTTTTTTCGATTCGATATTTTCATTCGATTCTTTCATTCGATATATATCGTTTGGTTAGTTAGGTTATGTTAACCTTACCAAACTAACCAAACGATATATCAAATGAAGCAATCGATTACTCGATATATCGATCGATATTTTCATTCGAATGAGTGTAGGACGTCAAGTAAAGTGCAGCCCAACGATTCTATTAAAAAACTGACTGTTAACGTCACATCTCTAGTCGTGAAATCACTCTTTTGTCAAGCCTTGCGTGCAAAAACAAATTATTCAAACCTCAGGCTAGCTCTGCCAAATTAACTTATTTAATTAGGCCTACCAAGATCAAGTACCTAAACAAAGATTTTTCTCAATATGGAATACCGGTATTACTATTCTCAAGATTAAGTTACAGTACCTACCCAATTGAATAAGTTAATAATAGCCTACAGGATTGGCTAGTCTAAATTTTCTTCATAACTTACATAAAGATGACTTTGTTGTAAAGCCAGGTTTTACTAGACGCGGAAAAGGAGAACGGAGGGTGGGAAAGCGATTGGCATTCCGCTCTGCTTCTAGGAAAACAATAACATTAAATTACCTAAGACAAGAGGAGTCTACTCTCCGCGTTCCTCTCCCGCGCTTCGCTTTCGCGCCTTGGAAAACCCAGCTTAAGTTGGGTAGACTTCCGTATTTATCTGTTGGCACAAACAACCGAATGAAAATATTGATTATTCAATTGTTTCATTCGATATATCGATCGATATTTTCGTTCGGTTGATCGATCGATAATTTTGTTCGGTTGTTTGTGCCAACAGATACGGAAGTCTACCTCTTAAGTTACTTTTCGGATTAATATCAATCTCGGAAGTCAAACTAAAATTATACTTTTTTCTTTATTATTATGCTAAATAAGGTTCTAAATTCAAAAATGGTTATCATTTTCCCCGAAAAATTCAAATTAGGCTAACACGGAAAACCGGAAAAATGATTGATCATTTTTTATATTTCAAAACAAATTTAAGTTACTTAAGGTAGCCATCTATAAGTTAAATTGTGCAGAATTTTACACTGATTGTGAATATGTAATTATTTTTCTCATGCGATAAATATTAAATGCGCTAAGTTATAATTGAAAAAGTTAAAATAATCTTATGTCAAGATTGTCTATTTTCATTAAAGCTAACTTAATTAAGTTTGTTTTTATTTCTGATCAATACTCCTTCTGTTTTAATATCCGTTTAATCCTATCTTTTAGATATCCTATTTAGGCATGTGGGGAAGGCATGTCAGACTTTATGCAGGTTCGTATCTGTGTTAAAGTGTTTTGAAGCTAGGTTAGATTAGGAAGGTAAAGTAGGTTGTAGTGAACCGACTTGTTAATTCATGTTACATCCAGACCGTAATTGTCCTATTAAAACAATGGGTTAAACAACAAAATAACAATTTCAGAAATGCTTAAACAGTCTGGATACCTCAGTTACCAGTTACCTGAGTAAAGTTACCTGATGTAACAAATAAACAACTCGGTTCACTACAACCTACACTTTGACTTACCCAATCTAACCACCTTCAAAGAACTTAATGCAGCCACAAACCCACATAAAGTCAAACCTGCCTTTCCCACATGCCTTTTCTGTAATTTTGAAATTTGCAGCAAGTTTGGTTAAGTTAGGTTAGGCCTAGTTTAGAAGAGTTTTTGTTTCATATTCAATATTTTTGTTGCCTAAATTGGACAAGTTCTCAATTTATAATTAGATGCGTTTTGTTTTAAGATATTAATACAGATGGAGTAGGCCTAACTTATGGATATTAAAGAAAAACAAATTACATAATTGACTCATGTTGATTTGTGTGTCATTGACTTTGTGGTTGTGGTTGAAAAAAACAACTTTAACATATTAGTGAGCGCTGCTGTTTCTATTTTGATTGAAAATGATATTTTCATTTTAATAATCAAGCTATGTTTATATTCAAGGTAGTGACGTCATTCTTTTGTTATCATCCTTGCCGGTTCGCCAACTTTTTTTATGATAGCGTGTTCAATATTTAGTCCATGAAAAAAATGAATACGTATATTCACAACCAGCGTACAATTCCGCTCAATTTAGATGCCTTAAATGTGTTTTAAAATGTTAAAAATTTCCATAGTTTTTCCAAATTTCGGTGTTAATTTGAATTTTCGGGGGGAAATGACAATCTTTTTTGAATGATTCAGCATAATATTAAAGAAAAAATATTATTTAAGTGTGACGTTCACATAAAATTTCCGTGTTAATTTGAATTTTCTGGGGGAAATGAAAATCATTTTTGAATGATTCAGCATAATATTAAAGAAAAAATATTATTTATTTAAGTGTGACGTTCGTGATTGACATAGGCCTAGTTACCATTTTTCTTTGTCAGTTCTAGTGGTAGGTTATTAGAAAGAACTAGGCCTTAGATCAGTACAAACATGCCATAAATATCTTAAACAGTCTTAAAACTCTTGTTTCAAATACATATTCGATGATTGGATTGCTTTATTAAGTTATTTTTAGGAAGTACGATACATAGCCTGCAGCTTAAATAAATTGGTTTCAATATTTTATTTAACTTACAGGCTATGTAATATATTTTTCAGAACTGGTCGACAAATGCATTGGGTCACGTATTCACATTATTATGAAGAATGATAAAGAGATTGTTGGCACACTGCAGGGGTTTGACGACTTTGTCAACATGCTGCTAGAGGATGTGACAGAATATGAAGTCACGCCTGATGGAAGACGCATCACCAAGCTTGACCAGATACTGCTCAATGGCAACAATATCACTATGGTAAGTTAGCTATTAGATTTACCAATGATTTAAATTTTATTTAGTACTAATTTGAAACCTTTGTCAACCAGCTCCTGTAGTGTAACAAATGTTACGGCCGTTCTTAGCATCAATGTGCCATCATCAGACATGTTCAGCCAAAAGGCATCGTTATAACACAAAAACTTTTTCACACAAAAAATTTTATTTTGGTATTGTTTCATTTTACCACTGAGTTATAACTTACTTCTGGGATAAACCAATGGGCAACCTTATAATCAGAGAGACTTACGTTATTTCATTTAAAATTAGGCCTATGGTTTGTACCAAGCAATTTTTTGTGTAGTTGAAAATTAAATATTAAAATCATCTCATATATTTGCTTGACTACTCCATAAAACTCAACTTTTTCAAGGTTTGGTTTATTCTTAGCCTAATAAAAAAAAACAGGTCAACTTCAGCTTTCAATAACTTGAACTTCTCATTAAAAATGTCAAGTTTAACGGGTTTGCTGCTACAGGGTATGCAATAGAGTGTTTTAAGTCAATATTTCAGTATGACATTTTAAAGAACTCCAAAGTTGATCAAAATATGTTCATAAACGAGCAAACACAACAGTTTTCTATTTAAAGGCCATTTTCAATAGTATGAATTAAAATTCGAAACAAATTTTCAGTTATGCTAGGTATTTAAAATGTATCCTTTACCATTAATTACATAACATCGTATCAATTAACTAATTTATTTGTGGTTTTTTAGCTCTACAAAATGATTTGGAGAAAAATATTGTGAAACTTATATTTTTAGGGTGAAAAATGGGAAAAACCAGCCCAATAAAATCTTTTACCCAATAAAATCCCCATATAGCCCTTTTCCCATAGTTTGAAAATGCTGGTTCGCAAACTAATTCAAATAAACGAAGGTTTTGTACCAAATTTCTTCAAAATCGGATGATTTTTTCTCGAGTCATTGTGCTAATCGAACCCATATAATATTATATGTTACATTTATAAATTTATTTGAATTGATCCTGAGTCCAGGTCTTACCATGAGATTTACAGTAATAGCCTAGCTTATTTCCTGTATTAGGCAACACAAAAATTAGAATTTTTATATAAAATAATTATTTTATTTGGTAACATTTTACTAACACATTAAAACACTTTGTTCTTTAAAAAGGCTTTCATACAGTAACCAAACAATAGCCAAACTTTTAAAATTTAACTTTCACATTAACACTAACAAAACACTCATAATACAATAAAATAAGTTAATTAATTCTATTATCACCCTTAACCATCAACATCTTTCTTGTTTTTTAGTTGGTGCCTGGAGGAGACATGCCTGGAGAAAATTAATGATTTTGTCGAAAAAACAAGAAAATTCCATTAATGTCTTGTATGTAAATATAATTTTTTTTACTAATTTGAGACTTATAGTTTTATCTCCTCATACCACAACTACCGGTACTTTTTGACACATCTGTAGCACCTGTGACATCGATGGCCTTTTTTGTGGGTCTGCCTGCCAGCAAGTTTCATATATGTGGTGAACTGATGAGTTGATAGGTGAACAACTCATCGGACGATAGTTGTTCTTGACAACCTGGGAGAAGTAAAATGGAATTAGTCAGGAGAAGTCCCCTCACCAAAGCCAAAGCTGCTCTGATAACATAGGTTGTTTTGTAACACCTTTAACCACGGATAGAACTAGACATTTCATTGAGCTAAGGTTGTAACTAGTTTTAGATAAAAATTCATTTTATTTCAATTGAGCCACCAACAGAAGGCTCTGATGTAAATTACTGATTTATGTATATACCAACTTTACATTGCTGTAAAAAAACAACTTAAATAGGGATTGTCGATTCTCGCTACCAATTCTTGGACATTTGTATCACTATTGAGAATCTATCGCCAAAAGCCGATACCTATACCCGAAACGTCTGCAAATCGCTTGATTGAGAAACTTAAAGTCTGTCACGATCGCAGATGATGTTTCCATGACCAGGAAGACGATGATGTTCCCGTGGAATGTTCAAAATTTTATTCCACTGCGGAAGACAATGATGATGTTTCCGTTACTGCTAAGTGCTGAGCGATATTCAGGATTTTGCAGCAATCATGGAAGACAATTAAGATGTCTGTGTTAAAATAACAATATTAACTTTAAGCTCGGTCTGATCCAAAATCTCAGGCTGGCACACCTCTAATTATAATAACATTTTCTTTATGACATTTGTTTGCAAGATCTTCTTTCACCTTTGATATGGTATTTAATTTAATGTGTTTTAGAAGGGTTTTATGTCATAACATACAACAAAAATTGACACTTAAAAAACAAAAAATAGCAAGTCACTACAGCAATTCAATGTCTGTACCATAGATAAAACATACTCCCTTAGTAGATTTCTCATCCTTATGGAACAGCTGAGGACAATTTTATTGTTAGTTCTGTACGGTGTACTGTAGGGGTCGTATTTTGTTTACAATTTGTTTCATGTTATTTCAGTAATTTAAAACCTCGTTTAACCAAAAAATACAATCTAATCATAATAAAAAAACTCGTCCCCTAGTAATATAACCAATCATTAAAGCAAAAATCAAGAATTATCCCAAAAATAATTTAAACAAAATTTTGTCGACACTAGCGCCCAGTGTATGTGAACTAGACATGAAATAACACTCAAATTCTGAAGATAGCCTTTTTTAACTGTTATCGAGTACTATTCCTTGGCCGGCAAGTCTAGATCTAATGTTGACAACCAAGCGTGATAAGTAATACTTAGTGTGAAGGTATCGTACTTGGGGAACCATTGATATGTGAGAAGGTTTTTTTTAAACATGTACAGTAATGCTTGGAATTTTATATTAGACTAACTCTATTGACATTATATAGTAATTGTTTTGAAGAGGGGTGGAGTATAGCTAGCTTACATAAGAAATTATGAGACTAGATACAAATAAAAGATCGTTTTCCCACTGTTTCATCCCTGTTTATGGACTTCTTCAGAGAGCAGATTGTAGAGGAAATAAAAAGTACATTGTATTGTTTATTAACCTATAAAACAAATATTTTCATTTACCTTATACACTACTTGATGTAGGTCCTCTATCCCATAAGGCACTTCTTGATATATTGTTTGCCACATTGTGATTCCAAAAGAGTAAACATCTGCCTTTTCTGTTGGGTGTTCACCTTTAAGGAGTTCTGGGGCGGAGTACTTTACAGTTCCCTGAAATTAATTGAGAAAAACTTGATTTATTATATGCAAGTGTAAAGAGTTTTAGTTCACTGTCTAGTTTCAAAATCATGAACTTTTACTTACAGAAAATCTCTTCCTAACTGTAGTAAAGAAATTAATGACTTACCTTTCTAGGATTATTTATCAAGCTTGTGTTGAACTGATCATAAGAGCTTCCAAAATCACACAGTTTGCAAGTTTTTTCCTCAGCTATGACAATGACATTTTTCGGTTTCACGTCTAAGTGCAAAATACTGTTGCTATGGCAGTATTGTAAAGCACTACCAATCTGCTTTAGGTATCTGAAAGTGAAAATGAAAATCATTAGTTTTTCCCGCTAACACAGCCGCGGATCCGGTAAGCAAATGACATTACCTTACGAGATTTTATATACAACAAGTTAATTTGTGGGTTATTTATAAGTTAATTATGGTGGTAGGAAATAGTTATCTGTGTAACTAGTGAGCAAAGTGGCACTTTGCTGCACACAAGAGCAACGTTTACTCGCCTGCGGCTCGTGCGGAATGATCTCGAGTGCAGCAAAGGCCTTTTGCACTAGTGTTACACATTATATTTTTCCTACAGTCACTATTTAAAACATATAAATAATTGGTCTTTCAAACACTAGCCTATACAATACGTTTAAGGTTCAGCTGGCAACACAAATAGGTGCCCTAGAGAAAGTAGTCCCCGGTCCGTATCACTCCGCTATTTTTTCTTCGGCAAGCAATGTGCTCCGCGACTTGAGAAAATAGTTCCGTATTATTTTTGTAATTTGCAGTGGTTTCCGCGCCTAAAAAATGCTTTAAAGGTATTTTCTTGTTTATTAAGATCGTAGGAATGTTTTAAAAACGTTTATTGAAAAGTCCAGAAAGTTCAGAAATACCAAAAAGAGAACATAAACTATAAACACGAAATGACAGGTTTAATCGTAGTTATAATAGTCAATCAGCTGCTCATAGTATTATTATCTTTAAGTGTTGCCAACCTATTTCCAAGCGTACACATGTTCTTTCGTTGGAATCCTGATGTGCGCCAAAGTATAAACCATACGACAAAGTATAATCCGTACGACAAAGTATAAACCGTACGACAAAGTATAAACCGTATGACAAAGTATAAATATGCAGCAATTAGCAGCTTTCTGTACTATAAACAGTACAAGGAAGCCAACTTTGTCAGGTGACTGTAGGAAAAATATTTTGTGTATTACGAGCACAAACAGTCATTGCCGCTCTCAAAATCAACAGTTCTCGAGCGACAATGACTTACTTTGGACTCTTAATACACAAATAGCTATAACATCATAATCAGCAGCCCCAGTCTACAGGGTGTGTTGATAATCATCATTTTCTCTCATCCAATTACTGTCTCATCTTTCTCTTTCGTTTTCTTTTCAGCATTTTGTTTTATCTATGATCCACCCTCTTTCACGATGTCTTGCCATTTAATTCATGGTCTTCCAACTCTTCTGCTTCCATCCATTTCTCTCCAATCCTAATTCTAGGCACTCTTTCATCATCCATCCTTGTCTTGCCATTCTGGTTATGTTTGTTTCTGAACTATTTTAACATTTTAACTAGAGGACCCATGCTGCTCCGCAGCGTTAAAATAAATATAGTATTCGAGAAAGAATAAAATTTAAGATTTTTGATTGAATAATACAGTATCTTGATACTGATTCACACACGATCAAAAGCTCAAATCAAAGCTTACAATTTACTGATTATTTTGAGTCTAAAACATATTTTTAAAAAACATGAACAATACTGGAGATATTGATTTTTTGTCATAGAAAAACCTTACAGTAATAATTTTTATATTGGTTGTTCTTCTTGCGTTTGCTTGAAACTCGTCCGATTTAAATAACTAATAGCTTAAAGGAAATCAGTTATTTCACTGAAGGAATTATGTTTTTGGTCAAATAATACAGTATTTGATGTGAAATCTTTACGTGCATGACTTCAATTTAAGACCTAAATCATGAAAATCGGTCGGGTAGAAGAGCCAAACGAACTCGGAAAAGAAAAACCAAATTTAAATCCCATAGTAAATGCATGGGGAGCAAATTTCGTTTACGTATAAGCCGACTGGGATTATATATAAATATATGCTGATGCTTGATGTGAAATCCGTGCGTGCATACCTTCAATTTGAGACCTAAATCGTGAAAATCGGTCGGTTAGAAGAGCCAATCGAACTCGGCAAAGAAAAGCCAAATTTAACTCCCATAAGAAATACACGGGGAACAAATTTCGTTTACGTATAAGCAGAGTGGGATTATAGATAAATATATGTCGATGCTTGATGGCAAATCTGTGTGTGCATTCCTTCAATTTGAGACCTCAATCATTAAAATCGGTCGGGTAGAAGAGCCAATCGAACTCGGCAAAGAAAAGCCAAATTTAACTCCCATAAGAAATACATGGGGAACAAATTTTGTTTACGTATAAGCAGAGTGGGATTATAGATAAATATATGTCGATGCTTGATGGCAAATCTGTGAGTGCATTCCTTCAATTTGAGACCTCAATCATTAAAATCGGTCGGGTAGAAGATCCAAACGAACTCACTGGTCGTCGGTAAATCAAAAAATAATTACATTTTTTATTGTTTGGAATTCAGCAGCGCGCTTCAGGTACGTCCGATCTTAATAATCAAGGGCTCAAATGAAAGCTGGTATTTCACTGAAGATTCTTAGACCAAAACATATAGGATTACGTAATTATAACTGAGGAAATATATCTTCAATTGAAGTAACAATAAAAAAAAAATCTAATTTATGTTTTTTGGTCAAGTAATACTGTAGATAAATGAATGCTGATGCTTGATGGCAAGTCTACGCGTGCATACCTTTAATTTAAGACCAAAATTATGAAAATCGGTCGGGTAGAAGAGCCGAACAGACTCGGAAAAGAAAAACCAAATTTATCTCCCATAAGAAATGTACAGGGAGCAAATTACGTTTGTGCATAACTCGAGTAATACGTCAGATAAATGAATGCCGATGCTTGATGGCAAATCTACGCGTGCATACCTTTAATTTAAGACCAAAATCATGAAACTCGGTCGGGTAGAAGAGGCGGACGGACTTCGAAAAGAAAAACCGATATTTTTTAATATATAGATACTATTCAGACAAAACAAAAAGTTAAAAAGTTAAGTGGAATCCTGATTTCAACTAGGTCTTATACATACCTCAGTTTGTCTATTTGTTTGACTATCTGATCCTGAAGAACATTTTCTAGAGTTTTACTCCAGATCAGTTCCATAAAGACAAAACCAATGTTTACATCCGGTTCAACCATCACCTGAAACACCTTGATGAGGTTTGGGTGGTTTAATTTCAACGCGTTCATCTCGCTGTTTAACACTTCATCTTGTTTCTGGCACTGCGACATTATTTTTACTGCAATATTTTTGTCTGAAATGAAAGGGAAATCATGATTATAAGGCTGTTCTATAAATGAGAAACGTGTTAAGTTAATGGTTTGGGTATGTTAACAGTTACATAAAAATATTATGCCTGTCTAGTGTCCACAAAGTCCATTATAAGTCCATTATATCTGATCTTTATTTTGTGAGTTTTTACACCTTTGGTATTTTAAGGTCGCCATTTCAGTTAAAAGAATTAAGTATTGAAGTTTTTTGGAAGGGAACAGTCAAAACATATTAATTTTTACAATCCAATGTCAACCCTGACTGACGTTTTCCAGTAATGTAACCCTGCATTTTGCGGAAATAAAAATTCTTGTTTCTTGACCCTTTGTTTTATTGAGCGGAGCGAGCGAAGCGAGCGAAGCTCTTTGGGATCAACTTCAATGCAAACAATATAACACCATCACTCAATAACGGCTGAACACATTTCAGCCAAACTTAACAAGACTACTAAGACTAATAATGAGATGGTTTGTAAACAAACAAATTTCAATTAGATAATGCTAATGCAATTTAAAACGAACTTAAAATTTCAAATTTTTAACATTAGGCTTATGGGACTAAAGTAGCTATGACAGTTTTTTTGTTTACAAGAAAAATGTAAACAAGAGAATCATAAGGTATTTCTGAACTTTCTATACTTTTCTTTTAAACGTTTTTAAACCATTCCTATAATTTTAATAAACAAGAAAATGCCGTTAAAACATTTTTTAAGGCGCGGAATTCACTGAAAATCGAGAAATTATACGGAACTACTTTCTCAATGCGCGGAGCATAAACAAGGAGCGGAGGGATACGGACCGGTGACTACTTTCTTGGGAACCTATTTGTGTTGCCAGCTGATTAGAAACAGCCAATGTTAGAAATCAGGATTTAATAAGCGATATATCGAACCGCATCGAAATCGGTATTTAATCCGATAATACCTCATAGGTTATATTAAGTTGAATTACATCGACGGTACAGTAAGTTATTACACTTATTGATAAAACGCAGATTGAACACTGATCTAATTTAGGCAGGTGGGGAGGTAGGTCGGGGTTTATGAGTATACGTGACTACATTAAGTGTTTTGAAGTAAGGTTAGATTAGGAAGGTAAAGTGTAGGTTATAGAGGTGATCGGGTTGTTTATTTGTGTTGCACCATATAATTTTTATCTTTTGGAATGGAATAGTTGGTTAAGGTTAAACGGGGAAACGATTTCAAAAATGCTTGCATATGGTCTTAACTTAACAAACCATCTACAGTATTCTAGCTTTGACTTTATATAAAGTCAATGATTCTAGCAAATTATTACATACTGACGAAAAGAAAAGAGAACATTTGGTTTTGGATCTTTGACCATAGCAAAACTAACATATAATTTATGGAATGTGAAAAGTTGTATATCATTATATACTATTCTGTAATATTAATAATTGTTCGGCAAATCCTAATTTTAATGGCTCGGCTGAAAATGGAATCTGCATTTTGTGAAACAGTTATTTGGTAACAAGTCAGTCATTTCAAATGTTGATAAAATTTCCTTTCTCTTTTTTATACTTTAATGCCCTTTTTGGATGTTAATATCAGATTCCAACTACTGTAATATTTTCCTGGTCAAAACTACCTTACACTTCTCGAAGAGGTAAATTTGAATTATTATAATTTTAATCTTTAAAACCAGCATTAGTAAATAAATCTATTGACCTTTTTGCATTTAGTTACTTATACAAATATCAAATCACGTTTGTTCCGCTCAACTGGCTTTCACCTCTCTGAAAGCAACCCTAGTAGCATCATGAATTGACTGCCCAATGACAAATAATGGCATCATTTGGGTACAGAAACAATCCCTCTTGGAATCAAACCAGCAACCTTCAGATTTGAAGGCGAGCTCTATAACCACTCGGCTACACAGTCAAAAAATTATTACTTGATTATTGTTCGTCTACAGTTTATTTTCCAACTACGGGAAACTAACCTCAGATTAGTACCATGTAAATTAATATCTGGATAGTGGAGTTAGCAAATAATGATGGTATCTAAAAAAAGTCAATGTTAACAAATACTAGGGTAAGACCAATCCCCTACGAAAAATAACAAATATGCAAATAGTGGGAAAAACAACAAAATAACCTTTTTTATATTTGCGTGAAAATATGATTTTATTCATCGCTGGTACTCACTTTTATATCTTCCTTCCACCACCAAACCGTAACTACCTCTTCCGAGAATAAAACTTTCTTTGTTATTTGTATAAAAACTTGCGGTAGACATGGATTTGCGGAGTGGCGTGTCAAATGAAGGAGGTGTTCTCTCATCACTCTTATGTGATGTCGGATACAATCTTTTAGCTAGCGATGGTCTGGGGCTTCTTTGTGGGGAAAATAAACATCTTGCAGCCTTAAGTGCTTGGGGCGATCTGAAAATTCATATAATGCATGAGGTATCTTGTCATGTCTTAGATAAAAAGTAAGTAAACCTGTAATAATCACATATCAGGATTTAGTTCTTCGGTAATTACCCTAATTCACAAAAGAACTTTTCCACCTGGAAATCAGGTTAGGAAGCGCTGCCAACTTATCCTCTACTTTTTCTGTGTTTCTCAATAGTGTTTCCCAACTTTCCACCAAAGTGGCTAGGAGGTATTGACAACCATAAAACTAAAAAATGTTTGATTTTACTGGCATGTAGGCATTACTTTCTGTCATTTCTGGTTAACCATACTCGCCCCTTGTTTAAGCCACTAAACCGATTAATTTTTAAAACAATTGAATTTTTATTTAACTTAATCTCCTTCTGGCCATGGTCCTAAAAAGGTTTTTGTTAAAGGACAAAGACAGCTCTGGTGCCAAGATCAGTAACTACTAAATTACAGTATTTGTAAATTCTGATAACACCGACTATCTAAACAGAACAATTTCAGGCAGCTCAGATATATGCTACTCATGGGCGTCCATGAGGTGGACTGGAGGGTAAGGAATAACTCCCAGTAAAAAGAGTATTTCAGATTTTTGTAACAAATTTTTTTTAGAGGTTGGCAGCCTCTTTTAAACTTGCATTTGCCCGTCCACATAAGACTAACCGCCCGTGCATGGATCGTATACAGCAAAGCAAGGAGTGAGCCGGTACAGTACAAAGGTGATCTGTACTAATAAAATGTTTTCGGCAGTGACCAGGATCCGAACCCACGACATCGCTGCTTTGGGCCCGAAGTCCGTGACGCTACCGACTGAGCCACCGACTCACTAAACAGTCACATTTACAGTATATATTTTGCTTGTGTAATGTGTACTACTTATAGTTTTCTCGTAATTTTTTTTTATTTATAATTTTTTTTTTACATAGAACCCTATAAGGGAGCTATGACCACCTCTTGCCCATATGATGCTACAGATACTACTAACCAATCCAGCATCCAGCACAGCTTATTCAGCCAAGATCATTTGATGAATGCTTGTCTCTCTTTATGGAATTGATTGGATACCTGCTAGATAAAAAAATGTTGACTATTATAAAAGTCAATGATACTATAATTTCTGTTTGCTTAAATTAGGGATATTAGTCAACCCAACACTTCTATATCCCATCAATCATATCATCAGCCCAAAAATTGTACAAGCTAGATTTTCATCTTGTAGATATTCCTTAGATTGTCTCCTTCTGTATATATAATAATGGAATAATAGTTTTCATGTGTTAATCATGCATTTATTTGTTGGTTCTTAAACCTGCGAACACAAGTGCGACTAACCTTCTCCCTTCTGAAGGTGAGTAAAGTTTGTTCTTATAAGAATTGCAGTTTCTTGACCCAGAGTTTGGACTTTGAAGTGCAGGTTTTATGGCGGTGACTGATAAGAATTTCCCTTGATTAGTGATTGGGGAAGATATCAATCTGAAAAAATAAAACACACAAATGTGACACAAGGAAAATAAAGGAGTTTGGCAGGTCATAGACCAATTAATTATTGTTGCCTCATTTAAAGCTATAAGTTATACATTGCTGCATTATTCTGAATAATTTAAATTTTATTTAGACAATTTAAAACCATATGAGTGGTTATTAACATGGACAGTTCAAGGGGGCTGGGTTGCAACTTCTCTCCCTTTTTTTTTAAGGGAGAGGAGGGAAAATGCTTTTACGCATACAGGTAGCCAGCCTGTAGTGTGAGACTCCTGAATCTATCGCAGACTACTCACTAAAAAATCCCCTCTACTCTGTTGGACACAGACCTCGAATTGTTTGTCACATTACTTCAAGTCAGGCCAACATGTTACCTAAGCCCTCAGGGCTCTTACCGTTTTTGGCATTTGGATACTTCATGACCTACACTGCATCGGGATGCAAACCGTCAAGGATGACCGGGGTCAAGGTCGAGCTTCTTGGCGCGGAGAATACCCTGGACTTCTCTCCCTTTGGGTAATATTGGTTTAGAAAAATAAGGAGGCGGCATAATAATGAGTGTATTTTTACTAAGTTATGCATCCTGATTGTCCCAAAATGCAAGTTTACAGTTAAGCTATTGGATCAAAACTTCCCCCCAGGGTTCCATACTAGAAGCCCATGAATTTTTTTGAAAGCATCAGCTCCCCTGTTTTCAACTAGTTGGATTTCTCCATAGGTTAACTATGGTTTTATTCAGGGCTCAATCATAAAAAATTTAGTGCCGGAACTGTAATCCAGGCCTATTCAATTGATAAGTGCCTATTATGCCAATATTTTTATCTTTCAGAAAGAGATGTACCAGAATGCCATTCCGCTGCAAATCGAGCACTGGTTTTTACTAAATGCTACAATGATAGTGCATCATAAATTGTACTTACAGGAAATTTAACTATGCATTATAAACAGTGTACCTATATAATTAATATGCCAAAACGAAATTTGTTCTTTGAACTCCTCCGCCATTTCTTAACCGGCATACACGTCTCATTGTAAAGTATGTGTAGTGAAGATTTGCAAACTGACCTTACATTTTTGAAAAATTTCAAAAGAATTGGGCTTGGCCCCAGTGGCTTTTAAAATTCCCATGTTATTCTAGTGGGTTTGCATAAGTACATATTAAGAAAGCCTGGACAATTTGATATAATTCACCAAATAATAAAAATGAATTGACACAGTACTGTATTTATTTATTTATCTTTTTCTTTGCCAGAGGCATTTCATGAGAGAGTTAAGAGAGAATTTCTTGAGCAGTCCTTGAAAAACCCGATTTGCAAACTATATAGAAACATAGAAAATTCATTGAACCCCGCCAAGTAGAAGACGGAGATGATGTTTTTATTTTTTATTTATTATCGATTGTTATTAGCCTATATAATAAGAACGCCTACAAGATGAATTAAGATTCCTACAAATGATGAACGAGGATGTTAGTCGAAGTGCTACAATTTATAGTAGGTAACATGGATTTAACTTTGATAATTGCAGAGGAATACCTCTAAGCCTAAATAAAACTGGTACAAAGGCAAGGGCATCAAATCAAATACATGTTTCCATAAAAGTCAAGTGATTTTAGAAGAATATGTCTATACATTCAATTGAACCTTTACTAAAACTTACATTGAAGGAATCAATTTATTAGGGGAGGAATCACAGTTAAGGTGAGGGGGGAGAGACCATTTGAACAACATCAGGCTTTTAAACTCTGCATTTTCTCAGGTAAATATAATTAATGTTTACAGTAACTATAACCAAAATAATGCCAATTGAAGCAAATAAAATTGTGACAGACGGGTTATAGGAAATCATGTAGTTCTTATGTATGTGAACAAATGTTATCACTATTTAAAAAAAATACTGAAATTTGTAAGCATACTACATATGGCGAAAATGGTGGTACCAAGCAGGGGCTACATTATCAATGACGAATCCAATCATGGATAACTTAATGCGGCTATATGATTGGGACACATTTTAAGATCAGATTTTAAAAAATTATAAAATATTTACAAGAAATGTTGATTATATCAAACTAGTATGGATATCGTGAGTACTTCCATTAGTTACACAATCTTTGAGTTGACACTTTTAAACTCATCGGAAATTATGACCTTTATTCGTTTTTAAATAACTCCTTGTAATACTTTGCAATTGCTCGTTTTCGAGCAACATGTAGGTACCGGTACACTAGTTTTTGATAAGAGAACATTTCACAGAATCGATTTTTTTAATGGTACAGTTTAAACTATAGGTAACTAAGTTATCCTTAGTTGTTTGCTTTAAGTTCCGTAGTTCGCCTAAGGACAAGAAAAAATCCAACAATACAAAAGCAATAGTATAAGAGCTTATATTTTATAAATTTAAAAAAGATTATTCAAAATTATGTTATTAGGAATTTTAAAAAATACCTCTGTTTTTTAATGCAAACTATTGGATTAATATTGAAAACTTACTTCAGAGATGGTGATTTTAAAGGTGTGAGTAGGGAGGTTACACTCTTGACTATAGATGATGCCATTGTAAAATTATGTAGGTATCTTACTAATTGTAAATAAGTAAATTATTGTTTCCAACCAAGTGTAATTGTAGATATATTTAAAGCAATAAATTGCTGATTGTATTTATTAGTATTACTTATTGCTCATTGATAATAGAGCCCTTGGCCCTTCTTTAAAATGATCCCAAATCCCAACCAGTTTGATCATGTTTGACTGTTTGACTTTGACCATATGACCATATTAATAACTTTCTTTCCTCTTTTTGCCAAAATTGGCCAGCATTGATTAGACCTTAAAGCAGCGAAAATCACGATATTTTATCATTACGCTGTTTGTTACAATAATCATGATTATTACTAAAACTAATCATTGCTGCCAATGGTAAAAATCAAAATTAGGAAATGAAATAAGCATTATCAATTTTACATTCCTTAAGTGAGATTGACTAAAATGAAACAGCTAATCTTAGTTGAACATGGCTAAAACTCCTATAACTTTATGAATACTAAATATAAAAACAAGATACAAATTGATCACCGACCCGTTAATTATATTTGCACGTAGTAGCCTAAGCTCATAATAGTACTCATCAGTGATGGCGAAAGCGAGGGGGTGGGGTGAACCGGTGAAAAGCCTTGACCGGGAATATTCGGGGAATTTTACAGGGACTCGGAAACGAGACGGGCCCTGCCACACGGTGCCCCCACACCGGGTGATATATGTGAGGTGCACGCTGCCACATATAAATTACGTATGATTAATAAGTTTTTTATTACGTTAATTTGTTAAAACCAGTAAAATCACTAGGACAGGTATTGAACAACCGCTAAAAACTGACACTACTTGACCGATTGATGGAAATTCTCTACACTGTACTAACATTAAGTCTACAATAATTACAAACTGTCTGCGGGTCAACTAAGGGGCAAGTTTTCGGCTCTCCGTCGACTTTGACCGAAAGGATAAGCTAATGAACCCTGCCATGAGGCCTAAATACACCTTGGTGAAGTGTTTTTTATTCCGCCGAGTGGGGAAGAAACCTCCCCAAGTAGTGAGAGCAGACGACTCACCCAAGCCTTCTGAGGAAAATAACACTCACACCATCGTAAATTATCGCAAGTGCAAAGATATTACTATTTGTGCTCTAAATGTCCAGTGCCTGCCTAGTCTAAGGAATGAAAGTTTACTTGGGTCATTTTTGCAGAAGAAATTAAATGCGATATCCTTGAGGACCCAAGGACAAAATAGTGACAAGTATAATTGCTTTAAGCTAGGCAATAAAAGTAGTAATTTGTAGCGTAGAAACTACTATGAGCTTAATTGGTCGGGGAAGCAGGTTATTGATTTCTTCAATTTATTCCAAAAATATGCGTGCTTGTGGTACGTTTCTTCAAAGAAGTAGGAACGTCAAAGAAGCACCATCGCGACCACAGAACGCGTCTGCGACGATCAGTGATCACGCTTCACGCCCACGCGATTGAAAGATTCGCGCTTTTGCCGTGTTCGTGGACGGCAGTAAAACTTCAAAGGCAGTTTTTATTAACTTCTCATTTTTATTTTGTCAAGCAAATCTCTAGTCTAAACCTCTTCCTTTTGAGTAATCTAGGGCCTAATTATTATGTTCGCATTTTAATTGGAGGTGATTTTTTGTTGATGTTAAATCACTTTTCACTTACAGCATGAGGAGTGTGTTATGCTTACAGTATGAGCATAGATTAAACATTTAGGAGTATGTTTAATCTATGGTATAGTTACCGTATCATAAAATAATAGCAATTAGGTTTACTGTTGTCTTAATAAATATAATGTTAGTTTTATCTAAATTACTGCATTTTAGAACCCCCTTTCTATAAATAAGAGAGTAACCAGATGAAAATTAGTATTCAAGCTATGGTTAATTATTTATAAGGCGAGAGACAGTGCATTGAGGAGTAATATTTTAAATTTTCAATCATATATCCAACAAGGTTTTTAAAATTTGGTTCACACATTTCACATAGTACGCGTTTTTAGTGATAATACTCATTGCTCGCGCGTTTACTAAAACACCGTCCTGTTCAAAATAACTCCATGGACGAAAAATTTTGGCGGTTGGCCAATGTTTGATCTTTGATCTTGATGATTTATCTCAAATGTCAAAACAAAACAAAACCGAAACCGAGCCTAAGACCTAAGATAATGTTTTAAAAAAGTTGTTAACACTAGTCCTTATCATCTTAGGCCTAAGTTAAATTGATGTAAAAATTGTTTGGAATTGATTACTAGTTCAAGTGGCGTGGTTGCGTATATACTTATTTTTAGCGAACGTGAATTAAGTAAACTGAAGCTGTACCTACACTTCTCAGGTAGGGCCTTAAAGTTTTAAGAAAGTAAGTATGAGTATAAAGAATTTTCATCAGAAACAAATATATTTAAGAAACTAGGCTACCCTATAGTAATCAAGTAAAATTATTTTGTTTTATTTCAAATTCATCTACAATAATGTAATTCTGTATTGCTCGTGATGTTTTGCAATTATTCAAATCGTTACAATTGACAACACAACTTTTCATACCTAACCTACCAGCTAAAGTCAACCTTAAGGGAATTAGAATCTCAACAAAACCTAACTTAGGGGTTTATTACTGTTATAAGCAGAACACTAGAAGTTAGCCTAAGTAATGTACTTAAATGTATTGGGATTGAATAAATGATTACAGTGTCATTCCGGGTACACTTCCATATCTGTTGGCACAAACAACCGAATGAGTAATATCGATCGACATATCGATTATTCGATACATCGTTTGGTTAGTTAGGCAAGTTTAACCCCAATGATATATCAAATTAAACAATCAAATTATCAATATTAGGTACTCATTCGGTTGTTTGTGCCAAGAGATATGGAAGTGTACACGCAATTCCTTTAGCGTTGTAATGTCATGGCTTAACTTAACGCTGGTTTATTGGTAGTTTTACACTGATCATTCTTTATAAATTTACCTTCTAGGCCTATATGAATCAAACATGACCAGAAAAATTTTCAAAAATGCTTTATTATCGGGAACAAGACACCTTATCGAGCTTACTTAAAAGCCTACTAACCTACTTTTATAACTAGGCTCTCCCCGGGACTGTTTTCACTTAAGTTTAGGATTATATAAATTAGAGGTTGCAACATTATCCATTTGGCTGAATTCCATTGTTGATTGGCAGGATTTTAACTCGTTACCTCGATGACTTAAGTCCTCCTCTTTACCACTAGACCATCTCACCTTTCGGAGTTTACTTAAATTATCAGTAGGTAAATAAATTGGTCGTTAAATAGTATTACAAATCCCACAAATAGTATTGTTTTGTAAACAAGTTGATTAGGACAGACTCAAGAAGCTATCTAATTAATTTTAGTTTTAAAGTATAACATCAAACCGACCTATCTTGGTAACCATGAGAGATAGGCCTAGTAAGTTTGAGCTAATATAAATAAAGTTATTTGTTCTTTAGAGAATGGAGTCATGTCCAAGTACACCCCAACCGACTCTCAGCCATGAATTGCGAGCTTTAATCAATCAAAGGAATATATTGACTGCAAAGTCAAAGTCCAAAGGTTAGTGGTGTAAAATGCCCTGGTGTTTTTACACTGTGGCTAGTGTGTAGACTAAATGTTCAAGCAGCTCTTTTAAATTTATAAAGTAGGCTATTTGGCATTTATTTATTTTAAAATAACAAGGCCTAAAAAAGAAATTACATGAGACATGAGTAGATGTCTCATGACAACCAGGCCATTGAAAGAGTGTGATCATTGGCTTATGGATCTAAATAGGGTTTAGTTAATGAAGGTAAATAGTTCCTCTTTGATGGAAGTGTAGACCCATTGTTATATAATATGGTAGAAGTTTTGCTAACTTAGAAATATTCTCATGCTGTTTCAACCATACCACATCCCCGTCAAATCTTCACTCACTTAGCTCATTTTGTCCAATGGCAGTGAGATTCTACTAAAACAGGTTCTTATAAAAAGCTATAGTATTCCTGGTTGATAATATATTGAATCCAGGTTAGTCACACAAGAAATAAACGCGTTGTAGTTTTATTTTTCAAGAATTATTACCAAAGGGTGTCTAACGGTCATGGAAATCACAGCAGCCATGGAATAGTCGCTAATTTTACTTTTAGGCCCCAGAAGTCATTAAAATTCTAACCTATTTTTGTTACCTTGTTAGGTGTTGGTTAATCATTATTTTTCTTACTCAAACAAATATTTAGTAATTTTGTATGTTATGTTATTAGTACTCAATGCTCTTGACAAGCAAATTGAAGAGAACAGAAAGAAGCAGCAGTTGGATTTAAGGAACAAAGTCATAGAAGAAATATTTACGTCAGAAGTATCTTACTTGAGTCAGCTAGAAGTTATTACGAAGGTATACTCATATTTAACTATTTAACAATTTTTTCCAATAAAATCTATTATTACTTATAAATGATGTGACAAGGTGAAACCTGTTTTTTTAGCGCAACAAGTTTTCAATATCAATATTAAATAGGCCTTATTAAATCGTTGAACCATAGTAAATTTACTTAATTATGCCTAATTTATACAATGCATCTCATAAATACAATATCCAAATTTTATTTAGCCTACAAAAAAAACAAAATCCTGATCAGAGGTCACAAAGAATCCAATCCTGTAAAACTCGACCAGAGCCGCCAACCGTTTATTTTAGGTGGGCCTCTCGCAACAAGTTCGGCCTTCTTATGAGCTGCGCACAAAACCTTACCAAGATAGGATTTAAATCCTCAATCCGTATTGTCCAGAGACATCTTTTTAGACCTCTCAACGACTGATTCGACCTAACACTAATAAAACTAGTGAACCCATAAAATAAGCTCGTTAATATTTTCTGTGATTTTCTAGTATTTCAAAGAGCCGTTAGAATCATCAGACTTGATCTCCGGCCCCACAAAACGAACTCTATTTGGAAACATTGAGTCCATATACCAAGTCAATGGGGAACTCGTAAACCAACTCAAAACAAGAGGAACCAATGTTGCTGCAGCGTTCCTGCATTTGGCTCCATTTTTCAAAATATATTCTATGTATGCTTACAACTACAAAAGTGCCATACGTTTACTAGAGGTAAGATACTAGAGATACTAGGTAAGAGGTACTAGGGGTACTATTTCCCAGTTTTAATTTTTTGAATTTTTATTCATAATGGTGGGTTTTTTACAAAGAAAAATCAGTTTCTAAAAAATGGCTCGAATTATTTTGATTTAAATTTAGCCCTTTAAATTCTAGCAAAGTCATAGGCCTACTTACTTCAATTGCTGTAAAATTACAGTTTAAATATATTTTAACTTTTCTAATTTTCCCCTATAAAAATTATAGTTACAGCCTCCACTTACCCATGATAAGGGTTGTTCACAAGCTAAATGGGAGAAAGTATGTGCCAGGTTGCTAATATTGTATAACATGTTGTTTGAAGGACCTGCCGACACACAACCCTAGACTAGGAGAGTGGATAAGAAGCCAGGAAAGACGACCTGAGGTGGGGAACAAGTTGAGTGCTCTGCTGATAACACCCATACAGAGACTTCCGAGGTACAGACTTCTGCTGAGACAACTGTTGAGTCTGACACCAGATAGTCATCCTCACAGGACCACACTTGTGGGTAGGTACAGTCTACTCTTCGTCATTCACACGCTCGAGAAACCAAAACTTTTCATAATTAAAAATACAAGCTCAGTCCGTAGAGAATCTCTTAATTCAAAGTTTTACCATACATTTTGATACAGATATGTCAAAATCCAAGCAGAGGGTAGGCCGATTTGGAACGCTCAATTCGTAGTTTAGTCTGCAGAACATTCTATAATTTGAAGGAGCATTGGACAAATTCCCTTCCTGTCATAAGAGGAAACTATACATCCTATTAGCACAGAAGTTTGTCTTAAATAATGTCATTTTGTTATAACTAACTAGCCTAATAAATAAGCTGTTGTTGTTTGTTGTAAAGTAAATCAAACAAGCCATTTCGTTCTGTACCTTAATAAAATATTTAAAAAATGAACTCTTTGTAGTTTAAATGTTTTTAAATCGAACCTAGCTCGATAATTTAAACCTCTTGACAACTCAAATTTATTTGCTTGGCCCACCAATTTTGAATCATCAAGAGTCTGTATTGGTAAATTTGTAAAATGTTTGTGTTTGGTAAGAACTCAAATTTATCCTAAAACAGAAAATATCATTAAATCTGTGTTTTTCTTCCATGCTATACAGAGGCAGTGAAAGAGGTAGAAAATGCTACGTCACACATTAACAACCTAGTTTTTGAGCAAGAAACACACTCAAGACTACTGACTCTTCAAAATTGTTTGCTCCGCTCGAAACCTTGTATTGTTGGGCCTAACAAGAAACTGTTAAAGGAAGGAATACTTATGAAGGTAAATTTTGTTTCTATTCATGCTGACCGCTAAGCCAGCCACGTCGTTGCAAAATTCAAACTTATTTCAATTTTTAAATTTGTTTGTGAAATTAATGTGAATACTGGATGAACTAAAATAAAAGGGGCAAGTCTGTTTTTTTTTTTTTTTTTTTGATAATCTTGATTAATAGTAGGAATATAAAGTCAATTATGGTTAGAAGAGATGTAAAATAATTGTTTTTCAAGTTATTGTAATTACTGAAAAAACAAACAAATTATACGTCTAATAACACTAGTAGTAATATATTTACTTACACTATTGGGTCTGATGATGATTGGAGTGTCCAATCAAAATCTATCACCACTTCCCATCTTTCATATGTATTTACCGTCTTGTGATTCAACAGTATAAGTGTAAATATATTATTACTAGTGTTATTATGCGTATAATTTGTTTGTTTTTTCAGGTAATTTAATAACACCTACGATGCTGATCAGGAAGTAATTCTGTGATTACTGTTATCTTAAAATCAAATTGTATAAGCAAAATCAAGATTCATACAAAAGTGACTGCAATTTTTCCTTGCGTTATGGCTCACATAACCTTCTACTATCTCATTACCTGGCCCCACATCGCTGGGTTAACTTTAACTATAATTCTGTAACTATTATCTAATTTTCTTGGTCAGATGAGTGCTAATGGCCAGAAGGCGCAGAAACGTTACTTCATCTTGCTCAGCGACAGTGTTGTGTACTGCAAGCTACTCGGCAAAGAGGAAGGAATGCCTCACGAGAGCGGGTCGCTACAATCCTGTTGTGTGCTGCCCATTGGCAAATGCAGCGTCGAGAACGTTCTCGGTCAAGGTGTGTTCAACTTGACTTGCCGCAGCGAGACCTACATTCTGTTCTCGGAACACCGGGATGACGCCTCAGATTGGGTTACGGCCATCAGAGATGCGATAGCTCAGGTACATTACCGATAGAGTCATTTTAGAAAATTAATTATTTTTATTAGTCTAAAGCATTAGTTAGGTTCGTAATTGGTTTTTATTTTTGCTTGAACAGCAACTGTTTAGTACTGTTTATTCTGCATATTGAACAGAATACTCTGCATAAAAGTGGAACAGATTTCATGCTCTCTTAAACCTACTCTGATGAAGTGGCCTACTAAGACCAAATAATATCAGTACTAGTCCTACATTTTGTGTCCATTTACTTTTGTGTATCCATTCAAAAGCTTTATTAACCGTTAAATAAAATGTGTTACTAATTACAATAGATTTCATCAAATATCACCATAAAAATAAATTAAATAACATGACTAGGCCTACAAAAACAGCTTGAATGATATTAAACATTCTATGCCTAGTATTTCAGATAGTAAATAATCAGTTCTAGCAATCTCAATTGGGGAGGAATTAATTTGGTAACTATAAATAAACAAATTACTGATGTCCATATATTTTGCCCTTGGACTCAAATTTTCTCATTTAAGCTATGTTGATCTCTACTCTCTTTTAAAAGTTCCTAATACTTTTAATACCACATTTCAACAATCTCAGCTTAAGTCATAAAATCGAACAAAAAGTTTGTTCTTCAACATAATACCTAGTCTATTTGATATTTTCAATTTTATATTGTTTGTAAACAAAAGATGTCTTTCCTAAGTTAATATAAAAATAAGCTATGATGTATTATGATAGTTTATACATGTTAAATCTATATCTACCATTTACTTATTTAATACGCAAGCAGGTTTTTTGTGACAATTACTCCTCCGAAACTACTGAACCGATTTATATGTTCTTGGTGTCATTGGAAAGAGCGTAACGTGAAGTTGTGCAGGAAACTTTCTTTTTAGGGAAATAATTAGAGGGTGAGGCCCTGGGGCCCTTTAAAGTTTCGTATTTCTCCATAAGATTTACATGCGAAACAAATATTGTTATGAAACTCCAGCTGTTGTCAGAAATTAAAAGTGAGACTGAAGAACATATGTTAATTTTAAACAGTCAATAAGTTTGCTAATTTAACAGTTAGTATGCCACAAACATTTACTTACTCGGTTGAAATGAAATAGTTACTATTTGAATTTGGGTTGGCGTAATTATTACAATGGGAAAAAACGAGAGAGCCTGGATAAATTGATATACTAAAAAGAAAACTGAATTAACACTGTGCTGCATTTCTTAGTAATCATTGAAAGAGACGATTTGCAAACTATGGAAACATAGGAAAGTCATAGAACACCACCAAGGGGAAGAAATAGAAATAATGTGTGTTATAAACACTAAAAAACAAAATCAGCTTTTGAAAAATGATAAGATATTTACAACAAATGTTGATTATATCGATCTGTTATGTACATCCAGAGTATTCCATAATCTTTGAGTCGAATCTTTTATAGTCATAAAAAAATATGACTGTTATTCGTTTTAAAATAACGCCTGTAATACTTAGCAATTGCTCGATTTCGAGCAACAGGGACACTAGTACTTATTTAATACGCAAGCAGGTTTTTTGTGACAATTACTCCTCCGAAACTACTGAACCGATTGACACGTTTTTGGTGTCATAGGAAAGAGGGTAACGTGTAGTTGTGCAGGAAATTTTCTTTTTATGGAAATAATTAGAGAGTGAGGCCCTGGGGCCCTTTAAAGTTTTGTATTTCTCCATAAGATTAACATGGGAAACAAAAATTGTTATGAAACTCCAGCTGTTGACAGAAATTAAAAGTGAGAAGAAGAAGATATGTTAATTATTGTAAACAGTCAATAAGTTTGCTAAAAACATTTACTGACTTGGTTGAAATGAAATATTTACTATTTGAATTGGGGTTGGCGTAAATATTACAATGGAAAAAGCGAGTGAGCCTAGATAAAATGATATAATCTGTTATGTACATCTTGAGTATTTCCATAATCTTTGAGTCGAATCTTTTAAAGCCATCAGAAATCATGGTTGTTATTCGCTTTAAAATAACGCCTGTAATACTTAGCAATTGCTCGAATTCGAGCAACAGGGACACTAGTTAATTTTAATTTTGGCTTTCATACAAGGAATCAAATTAGGACATAATGTAAAAAAAAAAACAACTATGTAAAAAGATAACAAGCAGAGTTTTACTTTCTCCCTGTACATCTAAGATTTATAACAAGATCTAGATTTTCAAGGGAAACCAGTATTTTTTCAAAGGGTTTCTGCTTTGAAATAATTGTCACTTTTTGTTTACAGCATCACGAGAATTTGCAAACTCTCAGAAAGAAAAGTAGTTCTCGTCACACCCTACAAATGACTAGGAAAAGAAAATTGCTAAAAGTAAGTGCATAGCATTTCAACTTACATTCTCAGTTATGTTAACGACAACAATAATAATCCTGCACAAACAATCAACTGTCAAATTAAGCCATTTCAATTTCTAGAACAAGAACTCCTACTTAGATATTCAAACCAATTTGTACAATAACACCAGTTAGAATAAGTATTTTTTATAATATTGTTTTTTTTTTTGCAGGAAAATAACAATCCAAACAATGAAGAAAGTCCTATGAAAAAAATGAAAACACACACAAGCAGTCAAGTAAGTACTGTACATTCTGGTATGGAAGTTCTGTAGATTATTTGTTGAGAGAATTATAAGAATACTTGTATGTTATAAGATAAATCCGTATTTGTATTTTGTTCTAGAACTCCCGAGTTAACCATGCATATTTTTTGATCACGACTTATGTAATTGACTTAGTATATGGAATTAGACAACATATACAGGACCATATTTAGAACCTTCCTGGCAGCTCACACCAGAGGGGCTACTCTATTCCGATTCTTCGGTGTCTGGAGCTTAGGGGGTTTCGAAATTCAAGTTGTGTTTCTACTCGATGAACTCGATCCTTGTTCTTAATGATCTGATTGGCGAAAATACCCGGGAGACTACAAGTTTGAGGTCAAGCCTACCTCTACAAAGGCCTTGAGTCCAAAGTTAACCGGTCCCCACCCACCGGCTGACCAGGCCGTTTAGCTTTCCAAGCCACTTGGACCACTCTTCTGAGGTTATTCGTCTTGAGTGGTCTTGCCCAGTTGACCTCCTGATGTCTGAGCTGGTCTGTCGTTTCCCGAATGACATCCACACTGGTTCACAGTAAAACCAGGTTTCACACATCCAAAACAGGAGACGGTCCTCGGCTTGCCACATTCTCTGGCATACTGACCAGTCTCCTGGCACCTAAAGCACCGTACATTCATTACACCATTGGACGCTTACCCTGCCTCGTGGGCCTTTGTTCGTAGACCTGGTTCGAGTTCGAGCCTACCGTAAGACCAGTAGACAGGGTGTCTAGTAGTCGGGAAAATCGGGAAAGTTGGGAATTAGTATTGAATTTCAAAATGGTCTTGAAAAGTTGGGATTTAGTCTTAAATTTGATTTCAAAGTCGGGAACTTTCATGATTTTGCCGCGATCGTCGTCTTGCCTTTAAACGTAACCGCGAAAGCCAATGATGATGATGTCTACACAGCCTCGGGAAATGTTCACGATTTGGCCGTGATCGCGGGAGATGACGATGATGTTTCCGTGACCGCGGGAGATGACGATGACGTTTCCGTGACCGCGGGAGACGACGATGATATCTGCTCGGCCGCGGGAAATGTTCATGATTTTGTCGCGATCGCGGACGACGACGATGACGTTTCCGTGACCGCGGGGGATGACTATGACGTTTCCGTGACCGCGGGAGATGACGGTGATGTCTAAACAGCCGCGGGAAATGTTAATGATTTTGCCGCGATCGCGGACGATGGCGATGACGTTTTTGAGACCGCGGGAGACAACGATGATGTCATTGATGTCTACAAGGCCGCAGGAAATGTTCATGATTTTGCTGTGATCGCAGACGATGACGATCACGTTTCTGTAACCGCTGCAGTTAATGATGATGTCTAAACGTACGGTACGCGGAAGATTTCATGATAAAAAAAACAAATTTACTAGTTAGAACTTTTTATTGCTGCATTATTTCTTTACTTGAAAACACCACATTATCATAATACTACTTTATGCCAAAGACAGGGGTTGGTGTAGTATTATTTAGAAAATTTGGTTAAGCTATCAAAATTGGTATCGGTATCAAGAATCGAGAATCGATACATTTTGGTATCAACACCCACTAATTGTTAAAAAAACTAGTCTTGGAAAATCTGGAATTAGTCTTGAAGAGTCTGGAATTAGTCTTGAATTTTATAATGGAAATAAACTAGACACCCTGAGTAGACTTTGCCTCAGGGGATGATGTCTCACAATTACGCCTTTCGTAGGTGGCAGTCTCAGGGTGCTTCTCAGCTTTCTTCCTGGGAACGTAGGCGATTTCCAAAACCAGCGCTACGTTTGGTGAAGGAGGGGGTCGGAAGGCTGCCTTCTTGCGCATATAGGCCTCACAATCTTCAGCCAACTCAACCATCTTGGCCAGGTTGCTGAAGTCACGCCGGCGTCCCATGAGTTTGTATTTCATACGGATTTTGCTGTAGATCAGGACCAATATACCATGCTCCGACAACGTGCCGCTACGCCTCAGCAAAGTACTTGTGGCAACGACGTAGTCCCGGAAGTGTTCGCCCTCACCCTGTGTCTTTTTCCGGATCTTCTCATCCAAGTTCCTCCAATATCCTGGTGGGAAGAACTGGACTTCAAATTAATGCCGAAAGCTTCGAAGGAATACAGGAGGAATTCCTGTAACATAGGAGTGCTGAACCTTGCAGCAGCTCCAACAGCACCCTGAGGAGGTCCTCCGACGATATAAAGTATGAGACCATCAGCTCTTCAAGTGTCGAGGAATGACATAGGGTCTCGTCGGCCATCAAACCTTGAACCCCACTTCCGTACCGTGTTGCATACTTTGGAGCAGTCCTTCAGCTCCACCCTGCTGGCCTCATTCTAAAGTATGTCCGAGTCTCGTGGCATCCCCAAGCTAGAAGGACGGACTGGTCTCTCAGAAGTATCATTGGGCCGCTGCCATCCCTTGGGTCTGCTTGGTAACCCAAAGGTAGGCGTGGGAGCAGCCTCAATAGGGGACGTAGGGTTAGCAGGCCAAATTTGAATCTTCAACTAATAAATTGCTTTATTTCAGGATGAAGACAAAATGAAACAACATTGTGACGGGAAGGAAAATCCTCAGGCTTGTCAGGTAAAAATATAAAATTCGGAATGCAAAATACACTGATGGCTATATTTATAACATACCGTGAAAATTGTTAACAAATAAACTTCAAAGTATTCAAAAACTAGGATTTGAAATTTTTGCTGAAAGGTTTTCTGGATACTTTCTTTATGTTCAAGAAAGCTTTAAAACTTAAAAATAAAGCTAAATTTACTCTTTCAATAATATATATCATAAAAAAAGTAAAAAGTGAGTCATTACATATTGGAGACCATATGTTTAAAGTGCACAAATTTATTGAGCACTTTGAATATAGTCAAGATCAAGGATATGTAATCCACTTTCACTCGTGTTTTGAACGTTCATATCCCTTTCTTAATTTAGACTAACCATTCTATTTGTTAGTACAAAAATTAAGAATGCTTTTGACGTGTTTAATGTGTACACTTAAACAACAAAGAAATTTATTTTCCAGTAAAAATTATCACTTACTTGTTTTCCAAAATATTATAAAGTTTGTTGAATTTTCTTCAACCAATTGTACGTTTGTAAGTTATCATGGATTCTTTGTTTTTTTATGTTAGGCTATGGTATGGTGTTGTTTCTGGGTTGGGTGTTGAAGGAGGCAACGACTGATCTATTTTGGATTTTTGCCCCTGGTCTATTTTAGTTCCTCATCTACAGCAACGCAAAAATAAAGGAAAAAGGGCAACAAGTGTGTTCCTCCTCCGAGGCCGATGCGGGGCCCTGATAAGGGACTAGAGAAGGGTGATGCTTAGAGTGAGAAAAAAAGTATTTAAAAGGAATGACAAGCAGTACCAGAACAAAAGAAATGAATCATCCACGATGCAAGAGAATTATTGAAGAAATATAATAATTCCCTGTGGCTCACACAGCGATAGTACAATCAGTGGCGAATTACCCATTAGGCACGATAGGCAACTGCCTCTGCAGGTCTCAGGGGGCCAAAGACAGAAAAATAAAAATCAAATTGTTGTAAAAATAGTTTGAAAAAGCTTAAAAACTAAAACTCGATTCCGATTGTCCATAGGGAGGGTAGGGTAATATACAAGTTCAGATAGTTGAAACTGTATTGCAGCACAAGCTTAGACTTAATATTGGCAGGTCAAATATTTCTTGTAAAATCACACTATTTAATGCCTTGTTCCATTCTACAATAATATTTTTTACATTAATTTAACTCTGACTAAACTGTGATTATTTGTGTATATCAAATGTGTATTATTTAAGTTATAGGTAACTTAGGCCTATTTTGTATGTTTACAGGAAACAGTTCAGAAGAACAACTATTTGCAGTCAATCAAATCGTTATTTATGTCTTTTGGAGAAACTGTCAGAACCTACATGTTCCCTGGGCCGTCTTCTAGATCGTCAAACGTTTAAGAGATATGGAAATCTTAAAACCTGTAGAATTGTATTAACTGTACAACATATTTTATGATTTTGGTGCTTTAGACTGCGTTATGTCTTGACTGTCCCACTTGTTATTAAACTAAAGAGTTTATTTTTTACTACATTATTTACAAAGTGTAAAATAAGTCATAAAAGAATATTAATTTCAGATTTAAAAAATCTTTGGTATAAATATTTTACTGTGCTGACTAAGTTTTTATTGTATTGTGTAACTGTACTTGTGCTATCAAGTTAAAACTTGTGTAGGTTGTATTTTTTTATTGAACTTTTGTAAACCAGATATTTGTATCAATAAAAAGTACCCAACAAAGTAATTTTATTTTTGTCTATCCCAATAAACAGGAACTATTAAAAAATGTTAGTGGAGGGTGACGTTATTTGCACCGGAGTAGTGATTTTCAAACAAAAAATGTGGATTTTTGAACAAGGTTCTCTGTGAGTGTTTTTCACTGTGCCATTTCATAAAGAGTATTAAAGTTTTACTAAAGTTAGACAATACACATTGTCATCATGAAAAATAATAATACTGGTAGTCTATTGTTTCTTATGAGAGATATAGTCTATGAAAAAACTAAGAGATTTGAACTTGAAGGTCTGTAATAAATTAAATAACCTAGGTATTGTCTTTGCGGGTGGTTTTTTTGTCTTGTTTGGTCATGGTTATATGCTTATATATGGGCTGTAATTTGTAAAGAAACTACGCTACTGCTTTGGTCTTGTACAAAACGTTATTGGAGATTAATGAAGTTTGTAGTGTATTTTTATACCTAATATTTGCATGAAATACAGTACCTAACTTAATTGGACACTGATAAATGAATTGTTCGCCAAAACCTCAACATAGGACTACCATTTAAAAAAAATTCATACAAACATGATTAAATTTTGCTGAAAGATACCTTTTTATGAATGTTCTATTTTTTATTTAGATAAAAATTAAAATATCAAAAGAAACTAAACTGTTTTTAATCAAGACACTAATACAAGACAATATTATTAAAGAAAGAAAATAAAAACATACCTTACCTTACCTATTAGGCCACTTAAACCTCAGAAGGTTTTTGGCCCGCCAACAATTCCTCGCCATCTCTCTCTGTCTTGCATCCATTGAGCCTCTGCCCCCAATCTTCTCAAGTCCTTTTCCACTTGGTCCTTCCAGCAAAGCAGTGGTCGTCCCAAGGGCCGCTTTCCTCTTGGTAGTCCTTCATTTATCGCTTTAACTGTTGCATTTTGTTCTCTTCTTGCGATATGGCCTGCCCACCTGAGTCTTCTGCTTTTGATTTGGGCTATTATGTCCGGGTCTCTGTATAGCTCTCGAATCTCTTTATTAGCTGAGTATTCTCCATATTCCATCTTCATTTATGGGACCATAGATGCACCTTAATATTTTGTTTTCAAACACCATCAGCTTTTTTTGTATGATAATAAAATAAAAACATATGCTTAAATATTAATTAAATAATTAAATTTGGTTGTATTACCTTTGTAAGGCAAAAGGTGGTGACAATTCCTTCTCATCGTAGTGTTTCCTGTCTTAACCCAGTATGACCTTGGCTCTTGTCCTAAGCTGATAATAATAATAATCCCCTCTCTTTTTAAGTCTTGGATCCATAATTTTTTACCTACAGGCAGCGATGGAAATTAAGTATGTCCTCTCCCTTTTCTCCCATACAGTAGATAAGCACGTCAATCTAATGCTTTCTCGAATGTAGAGCTAAATTACTAAGGGAATAATACCTCTCAAAACGAGTCTTCCATGTCTTCCAGTCGTGAGGGTTGAAGGAAAAGGCTTCAGGAGGCTTAATGTTCAGGGATGCGGGTTCTTCATTTGACTGCGCCATGTTCTATTTCTTATTTAGATAAAAATTAAAAGATCAAAAGAATTAAACTAAACTGTTTTTAATTAAGACACTAATACAAGACAATATTATTAAAGAAAGTAAATAAAAACATATGGTTAAATATTAATTAAATAATCATAGAGGTTAAACAATTAACCTCTTGTTAATAACTGATAAATATACTGTATACTAACTTACTAGTAAAATAAGTATATATATGTCATTACCAATACCGAAAGTGGCATTTTCCGGTACACGCTCAAGTTTAATGTACGAAGCAGAGATGAACACAGGAACACCAAATTTCACGTCCGAGGCAAAGCAGAGCAAGAGAGCATGTGAGAGTTATTTCCATAAACAAGGCGAAACTAATGATGGGAATAGTTGGAGCAAGTGCCTGAAAATCACTTTTGTTACAAGTTATGAATGACACTTTTCAATATGACGCAAAAATACTCGCAGAATAGAAGACCTCGGTAAATTGAAAATATTATTTCTAAATAATAAAATTAAAATAGACATGGTACTGGTAACAGCAGTCTGACACACATCCTACCATTAGCTTGTCAAAACCCCTTATAATGGGCAAGTGGGATGGGTGTTCAACTATGATTTCATTAAAAAGTATTAAAGTAGGTATACAAACATACACACACAGACATCACTTCAAAAACCACTTTTTGGGGTTCAGTGGAGCAAAATAGATTTCCACCCAAAACTCAACACTTTGATGAAAACAAAACATTCTCCATTATAGGTACTAAGTACAAAGTACATGGAGACAAAGTAATGCCTTTGACTATGCGTTTGCAATAGGGGAGGACACAGTTTGATAAAATTAGTTTTTTTTAATTTACAGTATTCTATAGTATTACACATCTACCATAGCCATTATGTTCTACCACTTAACCTAAACAATAGAGAAAAATAAATTATCAACCATTCGCAAAATAGCACAAATTATTCATGAAATTAAAAACATAAACATGCCTAATTGTACACAATCCTACTTTGACAGTTCTCATTGCGAATCACAGTTTTTTGTTACTGCTTAGTTCAAATTAGCTGTTTTTATATTGGCAAAAAAAATATAGTGCTGCACCCTGTTGGTAAACCTTGTAGCTTTTTAATGCTATTCAATATCATAGAACTAACTTTTGTAGTTGGAACAGCTGACTAAATTCTTTAATTCCCTTTAAATATGAATACTCATAAGGTTAACATGGGGAACTACAGAGCCACTGGGGCGGAGCCCGAAACGATTTTTGAGATAAGAATATGCCTATATGTTAATCGGGAATGTGAGCTATCATCATGCCAAATTTCAGCCTAATCCGTCCAGTAGTTAATGCGTGATTGAACTTCAAACAAACAAACAAACAAACACACAAACTTTCACATTTATAATATTAGTAAGATATATGTCCGTTAGCGCGATAACTCGAGCAAAAATGATCCGATTTTAATGAAATTTGGTACAAACGTGTAAACTTACGTTTATTCGAACGAGTTCGCGAACCAGCATGATCGGACCATGGGAACGGGGGTTTATGGGGGCTTTTATGGGGGCTTTTATGGGGTAAAAATGGGTTTTTCCCATTTTTGACCCAAAAAACATAAAATTTTGCAATTTCTTTCTAAACTATTTTGTAGAGCTTAAAAAAAAAAATAATTTAGTATACTGAAGCGTTATAATGCGCCTAATGGTTACGGAGAAAATTCCAAAAAATTGTAAATTTAAAATTCCCATGTTATTCTTATGGAGAATAAGTAAACTGTTTTGCTTGTTTAATAACATATTTTGCCCAAATTTGGAAATTGTTTTTATTTCTTACTAACTATTAACATTTTACATAAAAAACACTTTTACCCTCCCTGTTGCAGCAAACCTAAGTATGTTTTAAACTGATTCTATTTAAATAGGGAATTATAATGTGATATTTTTAAGGAGACATTTTAGTGTAAATCCATTCAGGGAAATGGAAATTCGCTTAGTCTGCAGGTTTGCTGCGGCGGGGGTATTTTATCAGATTTTGCCGACGTAAACAAACAAATATTTGTTATTGTTTTATCAACTGTTTAAACTTTCAACAACTAAGGTAAATATTAACTTTAAATTGAAGGCATAACCTAAAAAATGCTATGAGTTTTGTAATGAAAAAATATGATTATTCTTTGTGGTGTAGCGAAAAGTAACGTTCAAAACAAAACACGATTGAAAGTGGGTCTATACATATTCTCGATCATTTAAAGTGCTCGATAAATCTTGCACTTCAAACATGGTCTCAAATGTAATGAATGACTCATTTTCTACTCTTGTTATGAAATATACTATATCTATATCATAGAACTAACGCAGAACTAATGATTAACACTAATTTAAATGACTTTTTTAATGGGTAGGTACCATGAATACTAGAAAAATACCCATGTGGATCGTAAACATAAACAAATTACGCGTTTGGCCTGAAAGTAAACATTATTTAACATTGTTTAAATGAAACTGGCTTTCTAAACCACATGTTAATGATATTAGTACAGGATTCGGGCCAAAAACGTCATTTGTTTATGATCCATACCGGGATTTTTCTATTATTCGTGGTAGGTACCGTGAAGTTAGCCATCCCCAAATCTATACGTTAATTCACTTATTTATTTTGCCGTATATTTTTTCGAAACTGACGAAAATTTTGTCCATTTTACAATTTACCATTTTACATTTAGATTTGCTTGATGCTTGATACAAATATAATCTGTAACACGCATGGCTTAATTGATTTGACTTAAATAATATTACGATAAGCTAGAAAGATATACAATAGAAAGATTACAGTAGATTATGAATATTACAATATAAAGATATACAATAAAAAGATATACAATAAAAATATATACAATAATCAACGACAAAGAATAACAATAAGTGATAAAGATTGTATAAATTAATAACACGTATTATAAATATGTTAATAACAATAACAGTGATGAATACTTTAAAAAAAAAATCTTGAATTGACGTTAATATATAATGATTGACATTGCGGCACTTGCTCTCACTGATTAGCACTCACAGACTCTGCTGATTTGGGTGTAGGTAGGCCAACTTCCCATACCATCAGTCAGCGATCCAGTGTTGTATATATATGCATATGGTATTGCCGCGATCACGGCGTCCAGTTGTCAGTATAAGAAATCTGATTCTATCTTGCCTTGCAAAGCAATGCAAGGTGCGATTATAGCTAAAAATTTTATACTAGTACGTTATCTTCAATCTCATAAGCAATTACACATCATCAATGTGTACATTTAGATTTTGCAGTTTTTGATGTTTTGTGTGGGATGTGTATTGTGTAACTAGATTTGCTGTCTTGAAATAAGTTAAGACTCCTTGTTTAAAAAAAATTAATTGGGATTTGTTCAAATCTGCAGTAGACTACGTAAAACTAACAACTACA